CTCTCTCTCTCTCTCTCTCTCTCTCTCTCTCTCTCTCTCTCTCTCTCTCTCTCTCTCTCTCTCTCTCTCTCACTGCAGAGCGCTCAGATCTACAAGGTCACCACTGAAAACTACAATAAAGCTGCAGACCAGCTGAAGGCCAGGTTCAAGTAAGTGTATACATTTCCACTATTTCCCAAATGATTTATAGAAATAAAGAAAATTAGCTATGATTRTAAAGTGTGGCCACTCTCGTATCTAAAGCTTTTCCATGATGATGTTTACAGAGGAGTTCTTCAAAGCTTAGTGAGGACCTGAAATAACACCAACTGATAACTGCAGATCATGGAAAGGCTGTAATATCAGGCTTCCTGATTACAGTTTCTGAAAAGTAATTAAGACGTTGTTCAAAAAGGTAATGCGAGATATGAAAGCTGGAAAAAGAAAATCTCTGGTCTTAGGACATTCAAATGAAGTTTAGGAGTTTTATAAACAATATTTAGTCAAAATGACTTTTTTTTTAAACCAAAAAATGATGCACTGCAGTTTTAGCTTTTAAAGCTCACTAAATCATTCATAAAACTTCAACTCACATACTTTTTTTAATCAACTTCTCACCTAAACCTACTGTATTTAATCATCTGTATGTTCCAGTCTCACGTCCATTGACTAAAGATAACTTTGTAGTCCTTTACTGGTCCCAGTGAATCAGCTATTGAATTATATTAGCCTCATTCCAACCAGCATCTTTCAATCAAAACCACATTAGCGTTGCCTATTAGCTAATGCTGATGATGTGGTTCACAGATAGTTTTGATCTCATGCTAGTGAGACAACTTGCCTATTTCACTTTCGATACTATATTCCATTTTCCTTTTTTTTTATTTGTTTGTTTGTTTGATTGTTTTTACCAAATCTGCATCAAATGGTACTATACACAAAATTGTTGGAGCTCTTTTTTTATTTAAATCAGTTGTATTTCTCAAAAAAGAAAAGATGAAAACAAAATGCACATGTAACATGAGTTTCTTACCTTAATCCATATGAAAGATGCTGAAAGCAGCCACACCTCTTGTTAAAAAAAGAAACCCATAAGGAAGTGATTTTTTTTTAATGAAGCTGTCATGAATGTGGCTGATATTCAGCACATAAATGTAACTCAAGAAGGCACAGAATCTCTTTTCATTCATGTTCCATCTGTCTTCGTAATAAGAGGCCATTAAGCTCTATAGTAATGTAGGGAAAGTGGATGAGGAGCCTGCAGGAGGTAGGGCAAGAATGGGCCCTGGCTCTGAGCTCACCTCTTTGGAGGCTCCAGTGATTGTGTTAGCTTGTCATTAGCCGGCGCTAACACTGGGATCATTGTCTCCCTCAGAAATGTTGGAAACTGATTAGCCTAGTCCACCAGGGGTTTAACGCTAGACTCACAGAAGCCAGAGCTTAGACTTCCCAAATCACATTAAAGAAGAAAAAAAGATACTCTGGAATCACATTAGGGCAAAATGACAGCGCTAACTCTAAGCAAGCGTTGAGCTAATGTGCTGTTAGTCATGTGACACGGGTCTTTGCACGGAATACAGCGATTGGTGGATTTGATTAGAGGATGTGCATTAGCAGGGTTGTGACTGGGTTAGAACCATAGAATTGCAGTAGGGATCTCTATATGTGTGTGTGCATGTGTGTGTTTGTGTGTTAATGAAATGGCAGGAAGGTCTGGTGTTACAAGATGGGAGCAGGGATCCATTGAATAGATCAGAGTAAAGGGTTAATTGGATTTAATGGATAGTGTTTGTCCCATCCTTGTTTATGTGCACGAGTTCATGCATAATTGTGTATGTTTGTTTGCTCCCATATAATGAACAGCTTTTGTCTGCACAGTGTGTGTCTTTCCTCAAAGCTCTTATGACAGAGACCTTTCAGAGATAAGATGCTATCGTTGGCCTCTGTAGAGTAATAAGAACAAATATTTTTTGTCTCGTGGTGGCTTTTGATTTCTTCAGAAATGAAACTGTCCCCTCGAGATAATAAAAAAGAATCTGTCCCTTATCCATGCTTGATAGAATTATCATGCGACATTGTTATTTTGCAGATGTAAAGAAAGATCTTTTTTTAGAATATCTTTATTTCCCACTTCAGCTCATGTCAGTGCCACGGTGACGAGTATAAGGTGATATTAAGCTACAGTTTATTATAGGAGAAATGAGTGGGACCAGATGTGGATGTCTGTCAAGGGTTATTGCTTTTTCAAACAAGTCAGATATCGGGAGTGGATGGGAGCTCAGTGGCACATGACTGTCATGAATCTGTGCAGTGCCCTTCTTATGGAAGATTTTTGGGTTGATGCTTGGTGGTTCTGTGGGATGAAAAGTGGTAATTTCAATTCTCTTYGCACTAAATAAAGATCTAACAGAGAAAATAAAAACTGAGAATTGATTTTGATGATCTCTAGCAAAACTACAAATCCTGTCTTGCACTACATTTTCCAGGTATTCATAAAAACAAACAGACAAAAACAAAAATCTACAGGTAGCTCTGGTCCATTCAGTATACTGTGTGTTTTCTCCAGTGCAGTGATCCATATTGGTCATGTTTCTTGGAGTTGCTGAAGAAAGTAAATGAAAGTGCGAGAGATAGGCACTCGGGGTGAAAAGGTGTGTGAGTCTAATATGAGGTTGTGTAAATGTGCAGTATTTTGTGTGGTAAAGCTTTTTTTTTTGACTGTTCCTGCCAGAAGTTTCTGAGAATGATGAATCTCTTCCAACTGAAACGCAAAGGCATCACCATGACCTCATTACATCCACTCACATACAGTGACACACACACATACATACACACACGCGCACAACTATATATATAGAAGGATAGGTGCATATCTATGATGCTTCACACTTTCTTACATTCATGATTCTTGGCATAAAGTTGTATCAGTTTGAATACAAGTAAACTGGGTATGATGACTTTAGTTAACTTGAAAACTGTTTTTTCTGAACATTGWCTTAGTTTAATATAACCAAATCTGCCCAAACTACAATTGTAGATAGATTTGTTTTTATCCTTACAACTTATTGAAACTATGCATAGCTTCTAAGAAAAAAATTAAGTTAAAAGTAATTCTTTGTAATAGTAATTAATGTATTAAGGAGCCTATAGTTTGTGATAAAATAAAGTGTAAAGAATATTTCTTTATTTTGCAAAGATACAGACACATGTTTGGTTATACTTAAAAAGACCAACAATCCCAGTATTATAGTCATGATTCATTTCAAACTAAAGTATTTGACCTTCATTTTTATCACAGGTGCCTTCAGCTTTTTATCAGCCATTTGGTTTATTTAAATGGAGCAAATTGGTTAGTTTGGTCTTATTGTGCATCACAAACCATGGAGCAAAGAAAGCAAAGGAGAAAGAGAMAAAAGAGCTCAGAAAGAGCTAAAGATAAAATGGCAAGATCATTTCCAAGTTACTTCATGTTYCTATCACTGCAACAACAAAATACAAGGCTCATGGAGCTGTAACCAACCTTCCTGGATGCAGACACAAAGARATGTCATTCTAGGTTGATCTTCTAGATTGTGCAGATTGTCGAAAAAGAGTCAAGGAAACGGTCCAAAGCCCTTAAAGCTGAACTCCAAAGTTTGTGGTCATCACTTTCTGGTTGCAATGTTTTTTTTAATTTGAATCATATTGGGTTTCATGTAAGAAAAAAAAGGAGAGCTCCACTATTGGCAAAAAAAAAAAGCCAGGCAGGAATTCACCAAAATGCACGAGGACAAACTCCAAAATTTGTGGTAGAAGTGACCTTTGGACAGTCTCCACCTTACCTCAATTATTAAGTTGACGAAACTCTGCATTTTATCCCTAAACTAAAATAAATTTAAATTAAGCTTATCGGACATATACATGTTAAGCTTTTGAACAAAGATAGGCCAAAACATTTGCTTTGCGTGGTAAGTCATTCTTTGTGTTTCCAGAACTAGACTGAACCTTAARGACTTCTTAAAAGCAAACATATATGTGACCCATCCCTTCAAACTGAGGGTTTGCTATGCAGCTCTTTGATTGCCTTAAAAAGGCTCTTTGGAATTTACAAAACGATGTCCAACTCAGTCGTATAACATGAAATCACTTAGCCTGCAACAAACTCTCAAAGACATAAACCAAATGGATTTGGCATACATTTCTCTGACATAAACCTAAATGTGCTCACCATGTAACAGATAATGCATTTTAGACACTCACTCTTAGCTTCACAAGCTTTTATTCACTTTCCCCATGACACTGAGTTTAGATAAGAGCTCCCAGTTGCCTGTAGAAATGTGACTATCTCTTTGCTCTGATTTATATGCTGCCTTATTTGCCACTGGTTGTTTATCAAAGCAAGAGGCATTATCAYGCTGTCCAGCTCTGAATGCATGACCTTTACCATTCTACATGTACGTAAGAGGGCACTTATATGATTTTTGTACATGTGAAGATGAATTCATGTAAGTGCACATAGAAATCGGATGAAACTGGGCTTTAGTTGGAAGTGGAAGCTGAAGGGATGGAAATGTTAGATGTGTGATTATAAGAAAATACGGAATGAAGAAAGGCAGTGTAGACCTAAACTTCAGGTCAGTGCTAGCCTTTAGCAGGGTTTGAACCTTTTTGTGCAAGGTGGCTTGTCTCGGTTTGTCCAACTCCCTGCAGGTTTGAAATTGGCCTTGAACATCTCACATTAGTGAAAAGGTGAGTCTGACAGGTGGGTAGTACTAAAGAATATTAGAGCATAGTTTTAAACATGCTTGAAGCTAAAAACTTAGATTTATGAAAAAAAAAATTCATGGTGCAAGAATTTGAAAAAAAATGCATATTCACACTTTTAGGTGTATTACTAATGTGCGTCTGTGTGTCTAAACCAAAAACTCTCAGCTTTTTCCTATACATGCTGCCATGGAAGATAAAATCTTGTTRTTGTTTTATTCAGTCACTTTGCTGTCTCTTCTCTCCTCCCTTAGGCTACACGCTCCATCTCTCTCTCCCCCTCTTTCTGTCGTTTTTAGCTTTTTTGAATAAATCTGTTTTTTAAATTTAATCTAGTTGACAATAGCAGGCAGTCGCATTCCTCTCTTCATCTCTCCTCACACAAACATGCACAAGCACGCACACACACACACACACACACACACAC